GACCAGATTTATTTTTAACAGTAACGTGTAATCCTAAATAAAAAAAAATGAAGTTAATTTTATCAAAAGTTTCTACAAATACAACACCAAACAATATTCCAAACATAACTATTAGACTATTGCACTTGAAATTGATATCAGTCTTGGATGACTTCATTGTTAACATTATATTCGGTAAAGTAATAGCATACGACTATCTTACTGAACTCCAAAAACGTGGTCCACCTCATGCACACATTTTGATAACTTTGCATCTTGATAAAAAAATTATTACACCTGAACTAATAGATGCAACTATTTTAACCAAAATTTCTTCTAATAATACAAAACTTACAAAATTAGTAAGTAAATACATGCATGGACCTCATACAGAACAAATTCCTTGTATGATTGATAAAAAATGTACAAAAAATTTTTCAAAATCTTTCGCAAACGTTACTTCATTAAAAAAAATGGTTATACTAAATAAAGAATGAAAAATAATACTTCTGAACAACATGTTTATAAACTTCGAAAAAAAGACGGAATTTCAGTAGATCATTCAATGATTGTACAATATAACAAACTTTTGGTAATGAAATTCAAATGTCATTTTAATGTTGGATTCTGTGCGTCTATTCAAAACATTAAATCTATTTATAACTACATTCATAAAGGTAGTGACAGAGCATACATCAAAATACAAAAATTAAAAGACTTAGACGAAGAAATATTTCATGGAATTAATAGTTACGTTGATGCAAGATGTGTAGGTCTCATAAATGCAGCTTTGAGATCGCAAGAATTTCCAATTTGTGATACAAGTCATGCAGTTGTTAAATTACCTACTTGCCATAAAAACAAACAAAACTTGTGAAACACAGCTAACAGTTTGGTTCAAATTAAATAACCATGATGACTGTGCAAAATCCATAAAGGATGTAATTGTATGCAAAAAATAAAATTTTCTTCATAGATGGTCTCGGTGAGTCAGGAAAAACTTATCTATATAGAACGTTAATTTATTTTTATATTTCTCAAAATAAAAAGATTACGTCAAAGGCATGGTCTGGCATAGCATTAATTTTGCTTCCAAAAGGAATGACAAGTCATAGAACTTTAAGACTTCCTATATGTATGAATAATATAGAGAGTAACTTTTTAAAATTCAAGTCAGTCTAAAAAAAATTAGCAGAAGTTAATTTTATTATTTAGGATAAGGCTGTAATAATTCCAAAAAAAGCATTGAAAATAGTAGACGTTAGAACGTTAAGAGATTTATGTAATAATGAAAAATATTTTAGCAATAAATTAGTTATTTTAGGAGGTGATTTTCATCAGATTGTTGCAGTAATAAAAAATAGTAATAGAATAGTATATTGCGTACTAGTTTGCAAAGGCTTCGATTGACGAATTGAGAGGTTTACGGTACGAGCCGAAGGTGAGGGCCATAACGAGGTTTGTAAAGAAGCTTTTTCGAACGAGTTTCGTATACTATTTTTCCGTCTGAGAATCCAAAAGTAAGCGCTGAAGGTGCTATTTCGAGGTTAGAAGGTGGAAAAAATTATATTCGAATAAACTAATAGATCTTCTTGTTTATGGAACTTATTTAAAATTTTTAAACAAGAAATTATTATTTGTTTGAACGATGAAAGATTTTTACAACTATGATTAAAAATTAAGGAAGTGGAAATAAAAACTCTTAACATTGCTGAAAATTAAATATCGAACGATGTATGTTCCCAATAACTTTCTGATATCTATAATTCTTCAATGCACAGTGTTGTACCAACATCATATAACGAGTATTCTGGTTATTTAAATAATAAAATACTTAAAACATTAACTGGAGGAATTAAAACTTACTTAAGTATAGATAACGCAACTCATAAAGGAGTTGATTAATCGGACGATACTATTTTTTTAAATTTTTTGGTAAAAATGTTGAACAATATTCGTGAAGGATTACCACCTTATGAACCTAATCTAAGATTTGATACCATAGTCATGTTACTTAGAAGTTAAAGTATATCAGATGGACTGTGTAATAAAATACGCTGACCAATCACAAAAATATTTCTGTATGATATAGGAGGAGAAATACTAACTAAAGCAAAAAATAAAAATAAAGTCTTTATTTCAAGAATAACATTAGACAGAGAAAGCACCTTAACATAATCTTTTACTTTGTATCGTATACAATTTCCAATCGTCGTGGCATTTGTTATGACAATAAACAAATCCTAAGGTCAAAGTTTTGATATTGTAGACTTGTATTTAAGAAAACCCTTATTTTGTTATGGTTATTTATACATAACTTTATCAAGATGCGAAAATAAAAATAATTTATTTATTCAAGTAGAAAAAAAAAAAAATAGTAGTAGAAAATATTGTTTGAAAAAAGATTTTTCCAGGATTGATCGACTTTACTTGATAATTTTTATAGATAAATCAGCAATATTCTTGGCAATTAATTGAAAGTTATTCTATTTCTGAATATTTCATCATTCAAAAAGTATGCATGACATGATGTATTTTTTTTTATAATGACACTTGTTTGTTAAAAAAATAAAATTATAAATTTTTCAGAGTAAAAAATCTCTTATTTCTTTAACAAAAACTATTACAGTATAGTAACTTTGTATACATGTCACAAGATAATTATTGTGAACAATTTTAAAACGTTTGGTTGATTTTATGATTAACATTTTAAATTTCAGTCATAAAAGGGAATTTAAATTCATTGATTTACAAAATTAAAATACAAAAATAATTATTTTATAACACGTATACATCAAAGGGAATAGTAAGAGACAGATGTTTTCTTTAAATTAGGATTATACGTATACTATATACATAAAAAAATTAGTATACTTATATTTTTATAAGTATATATTGTTATAAATAGTATCCTCATTTAAAATTGGGTATGGGGAGTTCTGTCTCTTCATGGTTATGATACAGCTCAATTTAATAGGTTACTCACTTAACCTTTTAAAATTAGGTGATACTTCAACGGTTATTAATATTCAATAATTATGTAACGTTTTTAATTGTTAATGTAGTTGTATTATGTCATACATGTAGATGTAAGAAATAATGAATGTTACATTGTTTTAAACTAATAGTAACAAAAAATAGAGTTGAATGCACCAAAAACCTTATACTCATTAGTGAGTTAATACAACAAGATGATTAAAGTTATTACATTACGATTTAAAATATATTACTTATTAATATTATTACATAATTAAACAGAAAGTCTATATTTCATCAATATGAAAAATCCATTTATTTGCCTTTTTGGCGGTGAGGAAAAATAGATGAAAATAATTATTTTTTAAACTCAGTATAATTAACTACATTGTAAATAGAGATATTTTATACTCAATAGAAAAAGTTGCAATTGGACAAAAAATGGTGGGGAATGGCAATGGGTGAACATAAAAAATGATGCTGGGGTCTGTGAGGGAACAAGAAAAGTAATGTAAGAGCTGTAGGTGGTCTGTGGAGGCTGTTAGGTTCTCAAGAAAAAGTGAGAAACATTTAGTTAACGGGGAAAACGATTTAATTTTAGCTCATTTGTGGAGGTCTGTGGGGGGATGTGTGGAACGCCTCTTACAGATAACTGTTTAAAATATGAAGATATAAATTTTTTTATGCACTTATGCCAATTTTTTTTCCATTTCTTAAAGCACTTGTCCTAAGCACTTTTTAGATAACCTTGAGATTTTTAAGCCATGCAGTTTTCACATCCGTAATCGTTGCAAATCTCAGTCTTTTTATTAGTTACCTAATACTCTGTCATAAAAAAAGTCACATTGGCTAAATTTGACGAGTATGGGTTCTGAGGCATGTCTTTGGTGTTATTTTTAGCCAAAAAATCTTTCACAACAAAAATGAGTTGACAGGAGTGTCATCTTGGTGCAAGAGCAATGAATTATTCTTCTACAAATCCAGACATATTTTTTTTAAATGGATCCTTACAAGCAGTTCGTAACTTTTAGATAGTACTACTTATTGACCGTTTGTCCATATGGTAAGAACTCTTGATAAACTATGTCACAGTATTTAAAGAAAATAGTAAGCGAATCATTTAACTCAACTTGGGGTGCTTCTTTTTTATCTCCCCTCACTTGGGCGTTTTCCTTGGGTCGTTAGAGCTTTGGTCCCGATATTATTATCATATGCCAAAGACTTATCCCCATATGATCCCTTTGAGCAAATCGAGATCATCATTGACGTCTGTCAACAGCATATGAGAGATGCTTACACGACAGTTTTTTTTGGTGAAAACTAAGTATTTTCGGAACAAACGCTGTTGACCCACGTCTGATGCCTAAAACGTTAAAAAAAAAAAAATTGTATAGCACGAATGAATTGATAAAGTTGATGGTTTTTCTAAACAACTTACTTTACTTTCTTAATGCTGTCGTCTGTTGTTGACGTGATCAGGCATCCAGAGTGAGGCCCACCTTGGCATCCTTTCAGCCATCTTGGAAGCAACTTAATTACTTGTGAATACTTTTTTTTTAAGTTAGTATTATTAAATACCTCGTTTAACAGTTTGAGTGTTTTACAGCACATTTTTCTATTTTTAACACAAAATTAAAGGCCAGTTTTCTTATCCATTTCTTTTTCGAGGACAAAAAATCTCTGAGCACGCAAAAACACTTCTTATCGTTATGCGTTTCATAAACAAAATTATCAAGCTACATAGCTCAATCTGTTAACATTTTGTCGTGACCAGTATAACAAAATAGAAAAATCAAAATTGATAATCGAATGTACATTGCCCACAAATTTTGAAAAGTTACCTCACATTTTAAACACACCTTGTATGTTGGGATCACAGACCCTTGTTAAGGTTTTTTAGTAAAAAAAGTAGTAAAAGTATCGACTACGAAAAATGTTATTCATATATTTATTTTTTTATGTTCTTTAAGATAATGTTAAAACGTTGTTTTATTTACAATTATCAAAAACAGTTAAATACCAAGAAAATTCACAAATGTGTTTACCTGCAATATCCCACAATTGTAACCGTATGACAGTTTCTGGATTCCAGTTCAAAACTTTCAAGGCAAAATCTACACCAATTGTTGCTCTATAATGCTGTGAAAAAAATTGATGAACATATCGCTTTATCAAAGATGTCTTACCAGCTCCAAGCTCTCCTATAACTAGTATTTTATAAAGGTGCTCCATTTTCGTAGATTGCAAATCATTATTCAGCTGATTTTCTGATATCTAAGGTAAAAAAAACAAAAGACTTTGTTACTAATGATAAAACTTATCTTGCTTAGCTGTATATAATATGTACAAAACTGTAGCGTTTAAGCATAGAACTAAGATGTATGGTATTTAATTTGTGTTAACGTTTTTAACAAGGTTCTAATTAGACGAAAAGTCTTATATTGGTAAAAAGACAAACTCCTTTTATAGAACTTTGTGCTGAAATGATTCTTAATTAATTTTCAAGCATTCATTTTTTTTTTCTTTTTTTTTAACAAATAACGTAATTCAATTGATGCTTATTATTTTGAAATGCCTTTTGAAATGTTAACAAATCATCATTCTACGTAAGCTTTTTTAGCTGTCAAAAGAAGTAATAAAGCTTTGTAATTTTTTTTCATAGAAGTAATTCATTTAATAAATTTATTCTATTAAAAATTTTTGCTTAAAACACACAGAGTTCTGACTAATTAAAAATTATTCCCTTATTCATAAGCATCTCTTGAAAAACTTGTAGCAAGCTTTACAACGTCCACATTAAAATATCTATTGTGTTAATATCTGCAGTAAAAGTTGTTTTTACGACGAAATTGTAAAACATGGATTTGTACGTAGTAGATCATTTTTTATTGTTACTAACAAATTGTTTGTGAAAATTAAAAAAAGACTATAAATTATGACCGGCAGACAGAAGAGGTCGAGAAAACAAAGAAAAAAAGATTTCTTTTGTGTATACTATTGAATAATTTAAAATCAGCAGTTCACAATGTGAACGCAGTACGTCACGTGCGTACTTTGCAGCATGCAGACCAGCTCTACCTATTCACCAGCTTAAGTAGTCAAGTGTTCGTATATAACATAAAGTGGCGTGTGGATACAGTTGTGTACTACCTCAGAGATTTTTCTCCCAACCCCTTCCTTAATAAAGTCGCTTAATCGATTTTATTATAATTTTTTTTTTTTGACTGAGAAGGGTAAAAAATTTTCAGACACCCCGGCTATTCAAGTGGTCGGGTTGGATTCACCCGGAGTTCCTACTGACTAAAAACTAATTTTTCTGCATCTGTATGTAAGGACTTTCTCAGAAGACAATAGTAATTTAAGAAAAGGAAGTGGAATGTTAAACAACAGAGAATTTTTAAGGTTTGTTCGCTTTTAAGAAGATGATAGAAGAGATATTTACGCATCTAGGAATAGCAGTTTTATACAATTAATCTCTAGTAATGAGTTTTGAATCATCAACTCTTACATCTAATTAGTTAATAATTTTAATACAAACCATGAGAGATTATTAAGCAATTTTTCATATAAAGCTTCGATAAGAACTCAACCAGATGATTTATATATTGAAACAGCCACTCTATCAGCTTCAGACACCATCCCAAACAGAAAAAGTTAATTCAAATTTGATGTGAAGCAGACGATTTGTTTAGTAATTATGTAAAATATATAAGAAAGGTTTGGCAAATATGTGAGCAAGTTTCCCACGTTGTTAAATAAAATGTTACTTTACTTCAGTCAGGTGCTAAACCTTATTAAAACGAGCTGTCTTAGTTGCAGATATAGCAGCCATGTTATATCATATGAGTGACATAGGTGCGAATGTTCGATCAAGAACAAGACTAATACAGTTGCTTGAAGAAATTATTCCATGACAAGCATTGGACATGGCTACGTACTGGGCCTGATAAGTATATAGAGAATTATGCGTTTACTTATGTGTGAACAAAGTAATGAAATTACCGAATAAGTGCACTGCATAACAACTTTTGCTTGAAGAATTTTTGTAAAAACAACACTGGCATGAGAATAGGCTTTAAATATAACAGATCGATGTATGTAACTGAGAAATAATTTTGACTACGTTTTAAATAATGAAGTCATACCTAAACATGTAGCATTGGCTCAATGCAACAAGCTGGCAATGACTCTTTGGTAAGTTATGGTTAAAGATGAATTAGTAATTTTTAGAAAGCATGTATCTGTTGCTTTTTTTTGATCTTTTAACTGTCGAAAAGCTACCTGATTTATAATTATTGGTCACCTTTTTGTATAAGAATTTTAAAGCTTAACTTTTTCTTAAATCTTATTTATATAATTTACTTGTTAGAGTGTCATTTATTTAGCTTTTGATCATGATCACTGTTTGTGTTTGGAAATGTTTCAGCTTTACTTAAATGGGTTATGTCAAACTTAATCATTATTTTTTCTTTGACTCTCTTCTCTTTGCAAACGTGGTTATTAACTACTATCATGATATCAGCAAGCAAAAGAATCGACAGTTTGTCATCTTTTTTTCAAGTAAACAAGTATCCATTCTCCATACAAAAAGTCAAACCATTTTTTTTTCGCTTGGTTAAATCTTTTATTCCAACTTTCAGGACTTATCTTTACTCGACAGAAAGAGTAGTTTAATTTACAGACCTTTTGCTTTGAAACTTCAGCTAAATTATGTTCTTCTTCTGGTATTTCCATCTGTATCCTTTGTTTTACTGCCATTCAAGAAGGTAGTCTTCACATTAAGTTGATTAATGTCTTAATCAAATTTAGTCATAATAGCTGAAATGGCTCGAGCTGAGGCTAATCTGGACACTGAACATAAGTTTCCATGAAGTTGCATACATAAAAATTATAAGTTGAAACCTAAATATGTTATCAGAGGTTTTAAAGATAAGAATCATTAGTTCTTCGACCACAAATCGGGCTTTGTACATTAATTTTTAATTTATTTTAATTTTTTCTTAGGTCTTGTAAAACAAAACAAACACCCTGTGAAATAAATTGTGTGTAGTTTGGTTTCACTAGCGAAAAACTAAGATTGATTAACTAAGTCCCAGACTTGGTTCTTTTTCGTGGATTGCAATTGATTTTGTGTTGACTTAAACCGAGAACTTTTTTTTGTCCTTATTGATTCAGAAAAAAATGAAGAATTGTTATTTTTGCCAGTCATTAATGCAAAATAATTTCCGTTGCAAGGTTTGAATTTAATATTCGTGAAGTTAGTATTATTGACAATATTTTCTAGAAATAAATTCTTACGTGGTCTGCATTTTTACTTTCTCCGTTTGCTTGAAGAGATCAGTTTCAGATTTTTTATTTTACACTTATATATCCACATTTGTTGATTAACGTTGGTTGACGAAGTCGATCATGGTTTCCCAGTTAGCTATAATTTTTTTTTTTTATAGAGATCCTTATAAGCTAGTCATGCTACAAAACTAACATTTTAACTTTCATTGTATTGACTCTGTTTCAGTTAGAAGACACCAAATTGTGTTAGGGTTTTAAGAAGATTAGTTACTTTATATTAGTTATAAAACAAGCAATATCTTCTGTGTTGCATAAATACTATCAGTGCAGGATGATATGTACATGTACACCCAAATGTATGTGATTATTTCCAAGCAGTGACCTTAAATGGCAACGTCGAATGTTGTTTCCTCTTGGTTGATCAGAAGTAACTTTAGAGTCTGTAAGGCAACTAGTTTTTTGCCATGAAAACAGATGGGAAAAGAGAGAGAGAGAGAGAAAGAGTGCATGTATCATGTACATCGCCTGCTAATGTTTTTATTTGTAACGTCCTAAAACTGCAGTAATTGTCAACGTTGGTAACGTTGGCACATCATAAAGGGATGGCACACTAAGTCCACTACAAAAAAAACGATAAGATAGCTACAACTAGAAAAATATGTTTCTCTATCAAGAGCTGCATTCTGTGGTGATTATCTAGAATTATTGTCTCTAGCAATCTCTTATTATAGCCTTAAAGGTTGTTAGCAAATGCTATTTTGCTTAATGCCAGCTAAGAACCTTTTGCCAGACAGGTAACTATAAGTATTTATTTTTAAGACCTCTAACCAGGCAACATGGTACTTTGTGTCTCTACATTCTCCTTTTCTTTTAAAATTAAATATCTGTAAGACATAACTTCAGCTATCTTGTATTTCAAGTCATGGATCCCTAATAACCAATGAACTTTAAGAAGAAGAATAAATTTTGTTTATTTTATGGTAATTTACGTTATTTCTCTCATCCTTGATCTGAAAAAAAATCCAATCCACAAGAAGCTGCCCAATAGCTATAAAAACTCTAGAATACTTATTTGTCAATGAACTCCTGAATTATTTGTAAAATTTGTTCGGTTTTATTTGTAATGCTTACTTTAAGGTAAGTTTGTCTGCCACTTTTTTAAAATCTTGATGCGAGCTAGTCCCTTCATAAGTGCAGCTCTTAATTTACTTCAAAACAAATACACAGTGAATTTCCTACTCAGATAACTTTAATGACTTTTCATTATTAAATGATGGTGAGATTTTTTTTGTACAACACTAATGATAGCAAAAAATTATGACAACAACAGTTAAGAAGACCACCAATTGTGTAAGCCAAAGACCAGTTTCTTACATCCACCTGTATCCGAGCAATATTTGTCTGGGGCTAATTTGTAATCAATTGAAAAACTTTTATTGGTCGTTGGCTTACACGAATGGTGGTCTTTTCAACTGATGTTGTGACAATTTCTTGCTATTATCAGTATTATACAAAAACCAATGTCATTATCATTTAATGATTAAAAGTCATGTAAAGAGTTATTTAAGCAAAAAAGTCACTGTGTATTTTATTGATTTAAATTAAGAGCTGTACATATAAAGGGACTATCTTTCACCAAAGCTTACGAAAAGTGGCAGGCATAGGCAGACAACGTTTATTATATGTGATAAATAAGGACTAAGAACTTGGTATTATGGAACACAACTGTTTAAACTGTATTTATGATGACAAAGGAGCAAGTACGAAAGCGTATAGATATTCGTAACATTTATGATTATTTATTATCTCACCTCAATGTGAGCAGTACCAACGAAGCTAAGCAAATTTTGAAAATATCTCAGGACTCTATTGATGAACAAGTACTCTAGAGTTCTTATAGCTGTTTGGTGACTTCTTGTTCCTTAGATGAGAATATTACCAAGTCAAGGATGAGAAGAAAAGGACTTAAAAGCTGTAAATGTATT